TCAGTTCAATTTTGAACTGAACTTGAACTTGGCCAATAGTTCAGTTTAGTTCAGTTCATAGGAACACTATTTCCAACTATAGATGCTGGTAAAATCAAATAATGCTGGTGAAACTGGTGGTTATCTAAAATCTGATTGGCTGTTATATTAAATTTCACCACAATTCACCAAGAGTTTCACCAGTTTCGCCAGCATCTATATTTCCAACTAAACTATTCTTCTTAAAAACTGACTATCATTAAATCCGAATCCCTACTCCGTGTCATTTGTGCTATGCCCAAAGCTAATATACACACGTATTGCTCTCCTGATCCCGAGCATAACACCTGGTATGGCTAGATCTTGCGATATGTGGAACCTTCGTGCAGGAGATCTACAGCAAAAATTTCCTTGAAATTCCAAGAAAAGAAAAATCCTTTTATTATAAGTAAATAGAACTTGTACTATGATATTTTTTATCGAATACGAAAGAAATCCAGATGTGGGTCAAATGTCGATAAAAAATTTACATATTTATTGGTTTGTTATGTAGACTTGTGAACGTGCTTCTGCGTTTATGTACTTTTTTCTTTGCCATTTTTTCTTTTCGGATCTTTAACAGGGTAGATGAATTGATCAAGGAAACTCTGTTCAAAAGTACTTTCGGTACACTTTCGGTTTCGGTAAATACCGAAAGTGCCACCTTGGATTTCTATATTCCCATTATTACTACGTATAAACTTTCAATGAAATTTAAATTCAAACATATTCACATGTTTTGTTTAGGCATAAGGCCTTTAATATTAATGATATTCGAATTATTGCTGCTGAATCAGAATTTTGCCATAATACTAAAACAGTCGTAGTAAAGCCGCTCATGTGTGTCATGCCAGTTAAATTTTCAATCTATATTATAAAAATTTCTATATTATAAAAATTTAGATGTTCAATCCGTCTCGTATCATGTGATTTATTTGTATCACACACTACCGCTACCCGTTGTTTAACAACGGGTTGAAACATCTAGTATACAAATAAATGTTTACTATGTTTCTTAGCGTTTCCCGGTGGTAATATAGTTTACTGTTTTTACAGTTATTCATTATAGTTTTATTTTTCTATAATTCCGATAGCATCTATATGTGAATACACTTTATTAAAACACGTTGTTTTACGTAAAAGTGTTCCATACCCTCAAAAACCCTAAATCTAACCCTAAATGCCAACACTAATGTGAACGAATAAAAAATTATATAAAATAATGTGAAAAAATTAAAAAAAATAATGTGAAAAATTAAAAAAAAAAAATCATAAAATATAATGTGAAAAAAATTAAAAAAAAATTCTATAAAAAAAAATTAAAAAAAAAGTGAAGTTTATGTTCAGTTAGGCATAAGAGGAAATAAAATTTCCGCTTATACACATATTACCCAGGGTATAACTGATTTATACCCTGTGATCTGACCAGGATATAAATAAGTAATTAAATAAGACACCTTCAATTAACATGTCAATAATCATGGAATCATCATACTATGCGAGAAGCTGTCTCCCTAGTGATTTGATCTAATTCTCTTGAAATAGCCAATGCTTCTGGGCGTTTTTCTGGATCTTCATGCCAACATTTTTTATAGAGTTTAATGTATTGCAATGGCACATTTTCTACAGGAGTTTCTCTAATCCCCTTCATTATATTGAAGATTATTGTTTTCGTTGAATCGTTTTTGAAAGGCTCCTCGCCGCTTGAAATTTCCCAAAGAATAACACCAAAACTATATATGTCTGACTTTTTTGTCGGTTTGTATAAAAGATCTATTAGAACCTGTGGATCAGTAAACGCAGGTGCACCATGATTTTCGCGATTAACCGAGCTTGTATTCGTATCGTGGGTAGAAAGACCGAAGTCAGAAATCAACATCTTTCCTTCATGAACTAACCCATTTTTCGTATTCTATAAAATTCGTAAATTTAGATATTATTAAGTAATCCGCTATACAATCTAACAAAAATTATACATAGTAACTTACGAGATCCTGATGAATAATACCATTTTTGTGCAAAAAAAGGAGCCCAATGATATTTCTTTAGCTATACGCAATTTGTCTGCACATTGTAGCCTTTGAAAATTACTCCGTAAATAAATTCTCAAATTTCCATTGTCAGCAAATTGTAACACTATAATATTTTCGTTTGATGGATCTATTCTCATATTTAGCTTTAAAATAATTATGACTATAAAAAAATCTCATGAAATAACATAAAATAACGACCACTCACTTCTAGTATATCTAAAGATGCTTGACGAATGACGAAACTTTCGTCATTGACGATTGACAAAACCTTTCGTCAAGCCAATTTTGAAATGACGAATTGACGATTGACGAAACCTATGACGATTGACGAAACTTATGAC